AAACAGTCAGACACCACAGAAATGACATTAGTTTTGACATTAAAAGTCAATGAGCGCCCTGGCCAGTTTGGATCAGTGGTTAGAGCATCCACCTACAGACTGAAGGGTCGAGAGTTTGATTCCTAGTCAAGAGCATGTACCTCGGTTGCAGGTTCCCCAATCCCAGTAGGGGCACATGCGGGAGGCGACCAATCAATGTGTCTCTCTCACGTCAATGTTTCTCTCTCTCCCCTTTTCCCTCCCTTCCAATTTCTCTAGAAATCAGTTGGGGGGGGGGGGGGGCAATATCTCTCCTTGGATGAGGATTTTAAAAAAAATTAATGAGGTATTAGTTTTTATGTCAAAAGTCAAAAGAAAATTTAGCTCAGCCTTCAAACCAATATTCAAACATTACCTCATCTACTCACCTATAATATCTATCCATATCTTTCACATGAAGCAAATGCAACCTGTACTACCCTGAACTTAGTAATTTACTAAGAACCTCTGGTTTACAGAGGTCTCCTGACCTACTGTGCACAGGGAGTCTATGTCACACCACAGGGCCATGTGTTGGGGTTATTTATTGTCTTCCACTGTATGCAGCCATCATAGGGGATGGTGCCACTGTGTGCTAGAGTCAGGAGAATGTCTTCTCTTCCTCCTCCTCTTCTCCCAACAAAGTCTGACACCTTTCAGCAAAACTTGACATTCCTGCTTAGGTGGCCATGGTGGCTCCATGCAGTCGTCATTGCACTTGACTTTATTAAACCTCATCTACTGACTCGAACCAGGAAGACCAAAGTGCTCTTGTGACCACCTGACGTGTCTTCCTCCGCGCAGAGTATGGAGGGCAGGAACTTCGAACTCCACCCAGCTGCCTGGGGCCTGGCCCCAGTGCTTTGATAAGGGGACAGTGACAGTGATGACAGTGCAGACAAGAGGTGGAGCTGCACAGGCACAACAGGCAGTTCCACACCTGGAGGGAGGAGTATGCACTCTGACCACTCCCCGCCCAGTGCTCTCCCACAGTCAAGGCTGAGCAGAGCCCACCAGACATAGGACTACCTTGATTTCAGGCAATGTACCTTTCACAACACTCTCCTGAGAACACAAACAGGACAAAACCACTCTGCACAGTGAGTGTGAAGGTGAACACACCTTCAAGCCACTATCTCACCAGACCCATTTTGAAAGTAAGGAACCTAAGGTTCGGGCATGTTGAGCAGCGTTTCCTTTGGCGCACAGCTGGACCAGCCATGCGGCAGCTCTGCGGGGAGAAGGTGAGTCTCCTGACTGCTGGTTCAAACTTCTTTCTCATATGGTTTGTCTCTCAAGGTTGACCAAATGAGAGTGAGATATTTCATAAGACTTTTTTTGTTGTTAATTCTCACTGAAGAATATTTTTCCATTGATTTTTGGAGAGAGTAAAAGGGGAGAGAGATGGAGAGAAACATCGATGTGAGAGAAGCACATCGAATGGCTGCCTCCGCATGTGCCCCAACTAAGGCCAGGGATCAAGCCGGCAACCGAGGTACGTACCAGGACCAGAATCAAACCCGGGACTCTTCAGTCCGAGGGCTGATGCTCTATCCACTAAGCCAAACTGGCTAGGGTAAGACATCTTTTAAAGACACCTAGAAGCTGCAGGCAGCTCACAGATTATGCAAAATATAAGTAAATTCTGTACAGTGACGTAATGATTCCTAAGCACAAGCACAGTAAAGTCAGCTAACATGGCCCAATTGTGGAGACGGTAGGTCTTGTGACTAGCTCCCCTGACAAGTGGAACCAAAGTTGGGGAGATAGGGGAGGGGGCCAAGGATGAGAGGGCACACACACAGTGAAACCAGAGGGCTCTATCCCACCTCAGGCACTCCCTCAGCCCAACTGTCTGACAGGGCAGTAGCTTGGGGGAATTCCTGGGACCTATACCAGCTATCACCGCAGAGGGCCTCCCTCTCCCCGTCCACCTGCTCAGACTCAGCCTAAAGCCCCAGATCCCAAAGCCAGGCACCTTTCCCATAGAGGAGCACTGGGAGCTCAGAAGCACGGCCTTGCAGGACCTTGTTGCGAGGCCTGGCTGTGGTGTTTGCTGTGCCGAGGGGGGCACTGGTATCATCCCCTTTATAGACAAATAAATTGAGATGTGCTGGTTCATTCAGAGTTGAACTGCCAAACAGGGAAGGGTATGGGGGCCTCTGTCTCCTGGCCCATGTTCTCACGGATCTGTGAATTCTGGTTTTCAGTCTCAAACGCATTCTCGGGTCACTCTGGGCAGCATGGTAGGGCTGCAGGAACGTTTGTTTTGGCATCAAGCAGAGCCACTGGTTTCTCATCTGCAGCTTACCTTCTGTTTAGGTTAAGCACATTATTTAAACAACAAACTTCAGTTTCTGCATCTACTTAAAAGTAAAGTAACTGAGATGCCAGATGCCTGGCACATAGACCCTAAGTCTTAGCCACTTTCTCTTTATCAATTCAAAAAGAATTCAAAATTATACTAGAAAAATTTATTTTTCATTGAAGTTGACAAGAGTTTTTATAAAGAAAACACAGTTGTGTGGACAGAAGCAAAACAAGGAGGACTTCCCTTTTACCAGTGTTCTCTGATCTCAACGACTGAAATGGCAAGAGCAGTAAGTAATCAACCAAAGGGACCTCCAATGACTAGACTGTGATTATTTCTTAAGCGTAACAGGAATTATATTTTTCTGAAGAGAAATACAAGAAAAATGCCAGTACAGGAAGTTCTCACTTAGCATCGTTGATACATTTTGTGACGTTAAGTGAAATTTTACCATAGTCTTATTGATATAAACAAGAGTTAGGCTCCTGGGGCATCTCACCACCATTTTAACAAGGACAGAATTCAAGGACCTTCTACACTGTTCATTTCCTTAATGATCCATGCTCACCACCCCAAGCGGAGATTTCCATATTCCATAAGACAAATGCTACTCTAAGAATGGTTTTCAAAGGTTAGCAGCATGTTGTCACATGACCTTCTTTTCTGGCTGTTAATGGAGGCCCAGGGAGCAGAGCTTGCCCTGAGGCATAAGGAGGGGATGTCCTGCGGCCTGGGTGTGGAGAAGTGAAGTGGATCCAGAGGATCCTGGTAGCCCCAGCTCAGGCACAGTCAAGAGGGGCTAAAGGCCAGATGCTGGCTGAGTTCTGTGAAGAAAAGGAGATACACTTCCTACTCCTCTCCTAAAAGTCACCATTATATATAGCTTAGCTTTATGATTTATTTAAAGAAACATTTGCTTGCTATCATAGGAAAATACGTAAGTTACAAGCAGCACAAGTTCTAACAAATTCCCATTTTACTAATGAAAAGTGGATTGCTGCTCCAAGCCACACACTGGGGACAGGAACTAAAAACAGAAGCACCAAGGACTTGATTCAAGGCTAATCCAGGAAACCTTTTTGCAAGTCACACCCAACTATGCAAGTGATAGCAAACTTCCCCTAATTACCCGGCTGCGAGAAATATAACCAACCACGCAAGTTTTAGCATCTCATATAAAGGTAGTTATCTACAGGTGACCGGGCTTTCACACCAGCACCTCATCTCATCTTCGCAGCCAGACTTTGAGAGAATGGAGCCCTCGCTGCCGTTCCTCATGTCACAGGTGAGGACACCTCTCTGATGGAAAAGCAGATTCAAGAGGTCAAGTGAGCAGACCAAGGTCAGAGGGCCAGGGTGACAGGCAGCGAGCTCTGACTGGACTCCAGATTCAGGGAGACTGAAGCCACAAACTCTTGAAGGCACCCAAGGAGCTTAACTTAGACACACCTGTAACTAGGAATGAAAAACTATTTTTTACAAAACAAACGAAGTTAGTAGAACAACTTAATATTTTCCTAACCAATCAACAACTATCACATCCAAAATAAATTTATGAGGCAAGTTTTAGTTTCTGAAATGTACTAGACTACCTTATACCTACGTCTTTAAGAAAGAATACTTACATCAAAATTCTTTACCAAAAAATGAGTAAGGCCATGATTTCAGTTGAGAATGAGATAGAAAAAGCAAGTTTAACGACACACATGTGGGTCCTCTGTTAGCTTCCAAAATATTTCCTTTTTAAAACTATCAGGACCAGCTAATAAATTTGAAGGACCATTTACCAAGGAGCTAAGTGGAAGTTTTTTCCATGCAAAACTCACTGGAAATTTACATTATATTTGCTATCTACAAAAGTGCTACAAATCTGGCCTGAAACAAAAGGGATGTTAAGAGCAATTCACTTGTACAATTGAGGAAAAGCAGAACGCTGAAACAGAAAAGGGTAAAAGAAGAAAATCATGGAGAACCAGCACATCAGAAACAAAACTGAGGACGCATGGTTTTCTTATTATTTTTGGTAGGGACCCTCGGAAAGCTGAAATCTTCTCAATCGCCTCAGAATACCTTGACAGACACTGTAGGCTGTTGTTCTTTTAAAATCTGGCCACAAATGTTTTCACTAACTCCTACCCCAGGGGGGAGTCTTTCCATGGCACCAAAACTCAAAGCACATAAAAGTCATCGTCTTGATGCCCTTAATAACTTTTGAGCCTCGAATACTTGAAGTAGAGGATCAAGTGCCCAAGTCAGATCCTGGAATATTTTTGGCTTCTTATTAACCTCTCCCCAAATAAGTTTCAAAAGCCCGTTCCTTTGTTGTGTTTCCACCATCTGACAACTGGCAAAGATGCTGCAGGATTTTCTCTCCATTTCTAAACTACTGTCCGCTACACGAAATAGCCTCCATCGTCAATGATCCTTTGAGGGGGGGGAAAAAATAACCTTCAAGAATCTATTGTACCTGCCCAAAGCCAGGACACTTCCTGCCTTTAGCATGGCTGAGGCACAGGGAGAAACAGCCCCTTGGGAGGAGAAGAGGGGCACCTCTCCTCCAGAGTGCAACCCCAACTGCGAGACAAATGCAGGCGCGGGCTCAGGGGCTGCATGCAGCGCAGGCACGAAGGTGAGCGCGGGGCACACCGAGAAGGGGCCGGGGTCCCCGTACCTTTTCCGCGCGGCCCCGAGCCGCCGGTGCTGCTGCTGCTCCCCCCGGCGCCCGACGAGTCCTTCCTGAGCCGCTTGCTCTGCGGCCTCACGCTGGACCGGAGAAAGTGGTGCTGGTCCTGGGGGCAGGCGGGCGGCGGGGACGGAGCCTGCGGGCCGCTCGCGGGGCCGGGGGGGCCGCCGCCCCGGGGGTCTTGCCGTCCCTTCTTTGTGCCACGCTGTCCTCGGCCGAGTCCCCGCCGCGGCGCCCTCTCCCTCCAACGCTTCTTCTTCGCAGCCTCTTGCCAGCCTCTTA